TCCAAAGCCAGGAACCAGGATCTTCCTCCAGGTCTCCCACACGGGTGCAGGGTCCCAAAGCTTTGGGCTGTCTTAGACTGCTTTCCCAGGCCACAAACAGGGAGCTGGATGGGAAGTGGAGCTGCCGGGATTAGAACCGGCACCCATATGGGATCCTGGCATGTTCAAGGAGAGGACTTTAACCACTAGGCCAACACCGCGGGGCTCCACATTCTGCTTCTAACTGCAGTGGATACGGGACAGAAGTCCTTTCCATGTAGGTTTCCTGTCTCAGAGTGTGTCCCCCCTCCCAACCCCCCCAAACTTGCCTTCTCTGGCCTGTGGATGGACACTCTCTCTGTGTCTTTCCTTCTCTGTAACTCTGCCTTTCAAATAAATAGACAAATCTCTTTTAACATGGAGCAGGGTGGAGTTGCCTATAGTGTTGAAAGACCACTGGATTCTGGGTGTCTTTTGTTAGAATGACAGCTTTCACAGGTGGATTGGATGAGATGAGGGAGAAAAGCAGGAATGCAGAGTGAACCGGGGCTGGCATGGCGGCCATGGAGGTGGGGAATGGAGGACGGGTGCAGGTGTGCACCGCTGCACAGCACCTGCTGTCCACAGCAGTGTTTTTCTGGGAAAAGTAAACATTCCTCAGTTTGTCGTAAGCCTGTAGTTAGTTCCCAAAGTTCTGGTAAAGTGGCATCTCGGTCACTTTCATCACTGTTCTGGCAGCTTTAAGGGCACCCGGGGGGTTGGGCCTGGTGTGATGGCCTAATGGTTAAATCCTGGCCTTATAAGCGCCAGGATCCCATATGGGCACTGGGATCCTATATGGGCACCAGTTCGTGTCCCAGTGATGACACTCAGGGCAGGAGGACCACCATGTGTCTCTTATCCGTGTGCGGCTGGCTGGCTGTGCCTGGTTGATGTGTGGGCACCCTCCTGATAGAAGCCTTGATTTCCTATGTTCCTAGTATCCCCTCTAACTTTGTACATTGGCTCCTTGACTCTGGGAGCTGTGTTTGATGAAAGGAGTGAGTGGAGTTCCATTTATTAATATTTATTAATATTCTCCTTTATGGGTACAGGGTCTCAAGGCTTTGGGCTATCTTCTACTGCTTTCCCAGGCCACAGGCAGGGAGCTAGATGGGAAGTGGAGCAGCTGGAATGTGAATCAGTGCCCATATGGGATCCCAGTGCTTGCAAGGGCCATTAAAGATTTATTTATTTATTTATTTATTTATTTGAAAGTCAAAATTATGGAGAGACAATAAGATCTTCCATTTGCTGGTTTGCTCTCCAAATGGCTGCAGCACCAGAGCTGGGCCATAAGGGTTCCTGGGAGAGCCTCAGGCTGGATGCCCATCTTCTCTGGTGGAGGCTCCCCTCTCCAGACCTTGGTGCAGCTACCTGCTCATGGGCAGTGAGCACAGTGCTGGGAGTGCGTCTCCACCAGGCAGGCTCGGGGCACATACCAGCTGCACTGTTCCAGTGCTGTGCAATGTTTGCTGGTGGCTGAGCCTCTCTGTGCCTTAGTGCCCTCCTTTGGAAAGAGGAGAGCATAACAGCACCTATGTAACTGAGCTGTTATAAAGACTGAACAATCGTACACACAGAGCCCTTGGGATAGTTCCTGGCCTGCAGCAAGCACACTAGGGGTTAGATCATAATCATTGCCTTTATTGTTACAATGACATTGCAAACATCACTTCCTCAGATCCCTAATCCAGCCGAGGGCTACCCTAACTCCACAAAAGAGGTAGCCCTCACCATTATTTTTTCTTTTAGGCAATTCCAACTCACTTTGATATAGGGTTTGTTCAAGAATTCCTGTACTCTTGTTCCTCATTTTACTCTTTATACCTTTTTGAATGTTGGGACTGACCACCCATCTCCACTAGCTGGCATGGGTGTGGTGAGCTGACCACACCACTGTGCTGTTCTTGGTGCTGGAGCAGAACGCAGGCAATGAGGACCTGGGGAGAAACCTGCTCCTCCTGCCTACCCCTCCCCTCCTTGCCAAGTCTATTGATTCTCAGGCCACTCCTTAATCAACATCCTGCTCCCTCAACTCCATCCCTGAACCAGCATCCGGCAAACGCAACCTGGGAGTGGTGGGCTGGAGCAAGCCAGGAAGTTGGCCTTCTCTGGAAGAACAAGGTATCTGCAGCCACACGGTGAGGCCTCTCTTGGTGGACACATGGGGTGTCTTTGCCTGAAGAAGTGTCCCTTTCCCTGGGAGTGTGGAAGGTGTCCTCCTGTTCTGGACCAGGTGCTCAGGGGGGCTCCTGGCCCTTAGAGCAATTGTGTGCAAGGAGACTGAACATGCAGCATGTGGGGAGAGGGCCCAGAGGAATGGGATGAGAGTGTGAGTTCTCAGAGCATGACAGAGCTGAGAAGGCCTAGGAACCAGCTCATCCCTCAAGATCCCCTGTGCAGCCTCCTCACAGGAGACACTGGGGCCTGAGAGGTCAGTAGTCAGGACCGGAAGGTCAGTCTGGACTGAGGACTTAGTCTGGTTTGAGATGAGGACTCTGTCTAGTATTACGACTGTATGGGGGCTGAATCAGGATTCCATGGGGAGTAAGAGCTTGGTTTAAGACCAGAGTCAAGTCGGGAGCCAGCTGCGATGGGGGCCAAAAAGAGGCTAGGGTTAGGACTCATGGTAGCATCACATCCATGTCCCAGTCAAGCTTGGAGGGTTCTATTTGGCGTCACAAGCAAGAACCTTATCTTTTCAGTTTGGGATCTGCTCAGAGCTTGACCTTGGCCCAACTTTGGGCTTGATCCTGGGGTAGGGTGCAGTGTGGGGTTGGCATTCAATTCTGGAGCGGATGCTTTAATCAACATATTGTTCTATAGTGGGATTGGCCAAAGACGAGTCAAGTTTTAGTGTGATACATTTGGAGTCACTGGTGTGTGCCCTGTCCATGCAGCAGGAATCTCAGGGCCTGCCAAGCCTGATGTTGGCACTAATTAGTCCCGGACAGCTAACGTCTGTTTTATCTAAAGGCTTGGGGGTGCCCTCTAGTGAGGGATTTTCCAGATCCTTAACCCAGCTCAGGGTCCTCAGCCTCCTCCCGCCAGGTGCAGATGGTGTCTAAGGGACTAAAAGGGACCCAATGGAAGCACATGACCTGGGCCTTGGCCACACCCTGCTGCTGGCATCCTTCTGGGTCACCTGTGACCTGCCAACCCAAAGCTTTCCTTGACCTTGAACTACCTGTTCTGCATTTGTCAAGGTGGTGCCCTCCAAATGACAGCTAATCCTGACCTAGTTTCCAAAACCAAGTGCCCATTCACCTTGCCCCTTGAGGCCTCTGAGCTGTCTTCTCTCAGTTCCCTCACCTGCTCCACACCCTGCTAGAGTTCTCCCATGGGCTGTTTCAGCAGATGCTGTAGGGCCAGTTGGAAGCGCTGTCTTGGTGCTGCTGAGAGGCTCCAAGGGCAAGCGAGTTGAACTGGAAGCAGAGTTCCCTGGCAGGTGGCTCTCATCACGTTTACCTGCTTCCTTCTCCCTGACACATACACACACAGCCTGGGAGTCCCTTCTGCACTGGAGCTGTCCACGCCCTTGACAGAGGCTGCCCTGAGTTTGTATGGTTGCTCGAATTCTCCCACTGCCTATTCCTTTCTGCCATCCAGGCCTCAATCATTCCTCAACATTCCATGCCCTAAACTCCACCTCAAAACCAGCTTCCCCCAGGGTGGGGACAGGACCTGCAAGAGTAGGGCAGTTGCATCTGGCGACCCACAGGGGCTGCCAGGTGGGGGACTCCTTGCTAGATGGAATCTCCCCTTTTGCTCAGAGTGATATGTGACTTCCTGTTGATGTCAGCTCTCTCCTCACTTGCCCCATGCCTCGTTCTGACCAAAACTGCAGGAAACGACTGTTATGTCTGTCTAATTGCTTCCTGATCAGAATTAGCACCAACAACCTAGGTTTGGAAAGGGGCTGTCCTGGGGCCGGGCAGCCCTGACCCGTTAGGTGCCTCTACTCATCCAGTTCCCTGAATCCCATCTCAATGTTGTGCATGGGAGCAACGGTGGCCGCGGCTCTTGTGTTTCCCGACCTGCGCTGAGCCAAAACCCACTGCATAATTGATTTTCACTCGGATTTGTATCCAGGCGGTGTCTCTCTGCAGATGAGCCTGTGCTGTTGTTCTGCAGAGTGCTTAACTGCCATGATGGCTTTGAAGTCCTGTGCCACTCCAGAAGGACTGCAGACAGGAGCTCCTCAGACAGCACAGTCAGCCTCAGGGCCTGCTGATGTCCACACTGGCTCTCGGCCTGGGGCCGGGGAATGTTTCAGGTCAATGCACATGAGCTGTACAGCACAGGTGAGCCACTGGGAATGTCCTGCCCAGGCACCGCTGCACTTCATTCCAAGATCAGAATCAAACACTGGATGTCACTGGGCTGGGGGCTCCTGGGTGGCCACAGCCAGACCAGATTCAAGGCTGCAGATTTTATGGGGAGGAGATGCTCTGAGAAGGCCTCTCCCTTATCTTCTCCAGCCACAACGAGCAGCGTCAGACTCTCAGATCCTGAGCTAGTGTCTCCATAGAGGGAAGTCTCTAATGGCAAGAACTGGATTGCTTTTCAGGCACCTGTTTCGGTACAAACTCTCACACATCTAGGTTTTCTATCGGGCCTGAGGCAGGATTCTTGGGCCTGCATGTGACCAGGGCATTCAGAGAGCTGGGAGAAAAGCAGGGTGAATCCAAGTGTAGGCCAAGATGGACCAGCAGGGCCAGCTTCCAGATAACAGCATGATGAGAAGATGAAGGTGGTAAAGGTTCTTCCATCACCCATCTTGTCTCTAATACCTCGTTTTACAGAAAGGGAAACTGAGGTCCATGAAGCAAAAAGACTCGCCTGAGTTTACAAAGTAGGACAGAGGTTGAAGCGGGGCTGACCTGGCCCTCCTGGCTTCCCCCCAGGAGGGACACAGAGAGGTAGACAGGAGGGAAACTGGCGGCCACACCCGTCCCTCTCAGATGCTGGAGGATCCCTCACTTGGCTGTGGCCACGTGGATAACCACAAAGCCCTTGACATCCGGGAAGTGGGAGCTGACGAGGTCCACTTGCAGCTGTCTTGGGCCACTCTTGGAAGGGGTGATGCTGAACTGGACTGAGGCCTTCTCTTGGGGTTCCAGGCTGGGCACGCTGGAAGAAGATGGGAGGGAGGCAGGCAGGCAGTCACTCTTCTCTCCTGTCTGAGGTGAGCCTGCACTTTAGGCTCTTTGGAGCCCTCACAGTCAAGTTCACCTTGTGGCCTGACATCCAACCTCAGCCACACGTTTCTGGCTTCCTCCTGTATCGTTCATATCCTTCCCACCTGCCCAACTTGTGTCCCTTCTCGTGTCCCAAGCACACCTTACACACCCTCTGCGCTTTGTCTGCACTGTTTCTCACACCCACAATGTCCTGCCCATTCCAGACCCATCCAACGCCCAGCTCAAGTTTCTCTTCCCTGACTGCACTAGCCATGGAGGCCTCTGTCCCGGAAGACTTCCTTATCCTCTTGAGACTTACACAAGCTCCTCATTGGGTCATGTCATGCTCAGCTCCATCCAGCCTTGCCCCCCCATCCCCGGGGACTTATCCCTGGCCCCATCCTACTTTTACTTGAGAAAAGCCTAGGAACTTCTGGATCCTGGGACTCTGTCCTTCTCTTCGTACAAACCACACTGTCCTCAGGAGCCAGCAATTTTCCTCTGTGGGGTCTTCTCAAAGCAGAACATATTCATCCTAGAGTTTCTCAATTCTGGGTGTGGACATGTAGCTTAGCAGGCAGGTCAGTATGATTAAGGACAGACGAAGAATGAGTGAAAGAACGGAAAAGTGAAGAGTGAATTGCTGACAATGAGGCAGTGACTAAATAAGCCTGTGAGTTAATGCAACAGGTTTGAGTAAGTGACTACACAAAGGAATAAATAAGTGAATGGCTGAAAAATGAATGACGGTGGGAGCAAATGAAAGGATAGATAAATAAACACAATCAAGACTGGGTCAAGCAGATGAGGGAAGAAGGAAAAGTTGAGTAAAATGAATAAAAGAATGGATGAATGGATGAGTGAAAGAGGGCAAACGAGTGAAGTGAGGGCAGTGAGTGAAGAAGGAAGTAGATAAATGAGTGCTGAGATGAGCGAATGAGCAGGTGGATGAGTGTGTGTGGGTACATTAATGGCTATGGGAATGAACAGGTGAATGGAGGCTGATGGGTGTAGGCAAAGGGCTTGTTTCTGGGGTCCAGAACTTCTGATGCACCACCCTGTCATCCTGGAAGTCCCTCCCTGGCCACCTAACAGGGAAGGCAGCTCCTCCCTGCCCCACCCCCAGGGAAGGTAGCCCCTATCCTTGGCCATCACTTACTCGATGCTGAGTTGTCCTCGGAGAAGACCACTCCCCTCCACCATGAGCACACAGTCCTTCACTGTCTCCCACAGGGGATTCACCACCATCACCTCCACTGTAACTGCCACTCCCACCATGGCAGGACCAAGCACCTGGAGGAACCACACCTATGAGCCATCCCACGTCCCCAGCCATCCAGGAATTCCCTGGTCCTGGCTGAGTCAGGGGATGGGAAGTTGGCTATCACACTCACCTGCATGCCCACATCACTCTTGCTTCCCCTTGGGAGTGGAAGCTGGCACCAACAGCTGTTGGTGATACCCTCCCCCAAGGTCTAGAGGGGCCCACAGAGAACAGGGCCATGGACTACAGTGACCTTGATGGTGATGAAGTCCTCCAGGGTAACATCTTTCTCCACCAGGAGCTTTTCTCCTTTGGTGACAAGGCACATGGCAGCCAACAGGATCTTCTTGTCTTCTGTCAGGTCCTCTTTGTACTGGGAGTAAGTGATCACGATGGCGATCTTCTTCTCTGGAAGGGAAAGCAGAGGTGGGAGTTAGGGAGTGCAGGGCCTTCCTCCACAGTACCTGGAAAGGGAAAGAGGACACCCACCCCATAGCTGCATTTGCTCTTGGTCCTGGCAGCCATCCTAAGCCAGGCATTATTACTCCACAAGTCACAAATGAAGAAGCCCACAGGTCAGAGAAGGTAAGTTGCAGGCCACAGGTACATGGCAGGTAGATCCAAGAGCCAGGATGAAGAAGGATATTAATTCAGGCCAGGAGGCTATGGCGACAACAGGATGTGTTTCCAAGAGCTCCCAGAGATGCATCTAAATGTTTTCTACTCATTCAGCCAGCCATCAAGTATTCTGTCGGGCACTAAACCCATCAGGAATTCACTCCCTGTTTTATTGAGCACCTACCATATGCTAGGTGCAAACAGGGAGGCCAAAGACCTGCCCCAACCTTCCAATCCAGCAACATCAACTTCCTTGCCAACTCCTCCAAACCACCCCCAGCATGAAGATCCGGTCCTTGTCAGCCCTACCAGCCATGGGATGTCTGATTTGCTCTCCCAGGGCTCCAGTTCCCAGAGCTCTGACAGTCCTGGTGTGTCTTGCTCCTGCTCACCAGCTGCCAACAGCCTGCCTTTGTGTTCTGTCCTTGTGGTCAGCACCAGCCATTGTTGACCTTCACTCAAGTTGGTGGTTTCTTCTGCACAGCATAGCAATTTGCTTTCAGTTGCATCATGTCCTGTCTGGGTTGCCCCAGGCCCAACCTTCCTCAACTGTACCGCCTCTGCCTCTTTTATTTCCATTTGCTTCTTGACCCTGAAGACCTCTGAGTGTTCCACTTGTAGCAAGGTCCTGAAAGGACTTGCACTTGGCCCACACTCTCAGCTCTCCCATTAACTTGTGGATGCTGGAAGGTGAATCTGCATGTTAAAGCATCACCTTGCCTTGTGGGCTCCCTTACCGCAGGAAGTCATTACTGACAGAACCCAACAACAACAAAGTTCATAATTACAAAAATTAACATTGATAATTAACTCAGGGAGTGAAGTGTACTGGACATTTGAAAGCATCTCCATGGATTAATTTGTTTAATCACCAACATTGAGCTTAAATGATTGAAGTATCCTCATCTTATAAACACTGCCAATCACCACCAAAAAATTAAATGTTCAGTGGGTGGCAGGAATGATGGCAAATGTTTTGGTGTGTGAGACTGTTTATGCTCGGAGCTGTGACAGACCGTGTTGTTTGCCGTGTGGCCCTGAGACCAGCAGGATCCATGTCACCTGGGAACTCGTGGTAATGAAGATCTTGGGCTCCAGCATGGCAAATCACACGTGCCACCAGCCATTCACTTGGTAGAGCCTGGGCTCTATCATAGAGGGGCCCACCCTATTCTCTGTGGACCCCTCTAGACCTTGGGGGAGGGTATCACCAACAGCTGTTGGTGCCAGCTTCCACTTCCAAGAGGAAGCAAGAGTGATGTGGGCATGCAGGTGAGTGAGATAGCCAACTTCCCATCCCCTGACTCAGCCAGGACCAGGGAATTCCTGGATGGCTGGGGACGTGGGATGGCTCACAGGTGTGGTTCCTCCAGGTGCTTGGTCCTGCCATGTTGGGAGTAGCTTGAGTTCAGACTATGGGAGAAGGAGGAGAAAGGCAACCCTGTCTAATGTTTGGATTAGGGCTTTTTGCCTCTTTTGGTGATGGGCTCCACTCAGTGTATAGTAAACCTGACCCCTTTCCCTGATAGAGGTTCCCAACAAGGCTATCCATTAGCAGGATCTAACCAACAGTTACGGAGGATTTCAGCAGCAGAGTCTACTGTCTTCTCAGGTTCATGGGGAACATTCACCAAGATACACCCCATGCTGAGCCACAGGTCACATACCAACCAGAAAAAACAGAAATGATACAAGGAATGCTCTTAGGTCACACTGGAATTAAGCCAGAGATAAATAACAGAAAAATGACTACAAAAACTTCCAATACCTGTAGCTTTAAATAACACACCCTTAAAAGAACACATGTGCCACAGAAGAAATTTGAAGAGAAATGTTCAAAATTTTAGAAAAAGTGAAAATAAAAGTTGTCAGAAGGTATGCTATGCTGTGTAAGTGCTTAGAGGGAAATTTATAGCATTCAATGTAGACAATAGAAAACAAGATGGAAAATCAATAATCTAAGCTTTCGTTTTAGAAAACTATAAAAAGGGGAGCAAATTAAACATAGGCACAAGAAAAGAAATAACAAAAATAATGGCAGAGATCAATGAAATTGAAAATCCAGAGCAAAAATAGAAAAACAAAAGCAAAAGCTGATTCTTTGTAAAAAAAATAAAACAAAAACAAAAAACCAATAGGTTTCTACAAAGCTGAGAAAAAAGAGGAATAAATTACTCATCATTACAGGTTCCATGAGCATCAAAAAGATAGGAAAGACATATTATAGATGGCCTATACCTCACATTTGACGATCTGGATGAAAGGGACTAATTCCTTGCAAGGCACGACCTGCCAGAACTCACACAAGAGCTAACAGACCAGCGAAACAGGCCTTTGTCTATTAAAGAAGTTTAATGAGTAATCAATAGCCTCCCCAAACAGAAAATTCACTGAACAATGCTATTAAGCATTTTAAAGAGAAATTATCTGAATTCTTTTACCATCTCTTCCAAGATATGGAATTAGAGGAACATTTTCTCACTCGTTTTTAAGGCCAGCATTACCCTACTGCCAAAACCAAGCGGACATCCAAGGGAAAAACAACGCAAGACAATAAGCTAATAAGTTATGATCAGTAGAACATAGCTGGGTCTAGAAATAAACCAACACAAATATTCAACTGCTCTTTTTTGGGAATCTGAATTATTAGAGGGAGAAGGAGATGAACAGGGAGAAGGAAAGGAAGTGTTCTCATTCACTAATTCCTTCCTTGAATGCCCATAACAGTGAGGGATGCACCAAGAACCAGGATCCAGGAATGAAATTCATGCCGCTCCCAGGTGAGGTGGCAGAGCCCAGTGCTGCCTCCCAGGACCTGCACTGGCGGGAAGCTGGAGCAGGAGCTGGGACCAGGAAGAAACCCAGGTCTTCCTGGTGTCTGAACTACTGGGTCAAACATCCGAGTCAAATAATCTTAGACAAGGTAATGCAACAAAGAAAGCAGTACTGGAACAACTGGATACTTCCAACTCAAAAGAAAAAAAGAGAACTTAGACATAGACCTTAGATCATCACAAAATCCACTCAAAATTGACTCTATACCTAAACATAAAATGCAAAACTCTGCGGCCAGCTCCATAGTGCAGCACATTAAACCTCCGTCTGTGGCACTGGCATCCCAAATAGGCGCTGGTTTAACTCTCTACTGCTCTACTTCCAATCCAGTTCCCTGAGAATGCCATAGGAAAGCAATAGAGGATGACCCAAGTCCTTGGCCTCCTGCACCCACATGGGAGACCCAGAAGAAGCTCTGGGCATTGGTTTTAGACCGGCTCAGCTCCGGCTTTTGTGGCCATTTTGGAGAATGAACCAGCAAATGGAAGATCTCTCTCTCTGCTTCTCTGTCTGTAGTTCTGCTTTTCAAGTAAAAATAAAGAAACTGTAAAACAAACAAACAAACATAAATAACTGCTCATATGAGATGCTAGTGTGCTTCCAAAGTGGCAATTTGACCTACTGCGTCACATGCTGCCTCATTTTTTTTTTTTTTTAATAAAGCAAAACTCTTAAAGGCAACACAGGGAGAAAAAGTCTAGATTACCTTGGGTTTGTTAATGACTTTCTAAATCCAACATCAAAGGTACAATCTACACAAGGAACGTAATTAAGCTGGAATTGACTAAAGTTAAAAACTCTGCTCTAAAAAAAAAGACACTGTGAAGAGAATGAGAAGACAAACCACAGACTGGCAGAGGATACGGGTAAAAGACATACCTAGAAACACTAAGACCTCTTCCACTAATACACTAAGACCTCTTACAATCCAACAACGAGAAAACCAACAACCCAATTTTAAAAATAGGCAAAAGATCTGGACATCTCTCCAAAAAATATATACCAATGCTAAACAGACATACACAAGAGACTCAGCCTCATATGTCATCAGGAAGTTGCAAATTAAATAATGAGATACAATCATATACGTATTGGAATGGCAATAGTCCAAAATATACCACACCACACCCTGGATAGGATGCAGAATAACAGGTGCTGGTGGCAAAGAAAAAGGCAGCAGCCACTTTGGAAGACAACAATATCGCATTTAACTAGACATGCTCTTACCCTGTAACCCAGCTACCGAACTTGATGCCTATTCAAGAGAACAGAAAACTTCAGGCCACACAACAGCCTTGGCTCTGTTCCCAACTGCCAAAATTTGGAGGCAACCAAGTAGCTTTTAGGCAGGTGAAAGAATAGACTCCGTTCACTCACATAATGATAATGTCAGTGATAAACAAAAAGCAGCTACCAAGATCCAGAAGATCCAGAGGAAGCTTAAATATATATCGCTATGTGAAACAAGGCAGTTGTACTTACTGTCAGGGACCAACCGTAAGATATTCCAGGCAGAGCAAGACATGTAGTCGGTAAGAGAACCACAGGTTGCTGGAGGTTCATGGGAAAGGAGGGAGGAAAAGGCAGAGCCCAGGGAATGCTCAGGGCAGTGAAATAGTTCTGGATGGTTCCGGGTGGATATTATGCCAAGCCGCAGCAGAATGCACAACATGAGTGAGTGTTCACATAAACGATCCACTTCAGTTACTGATAATGCATCAGTATTGACTAATCGGGGTAACCAATGTGCCCCTCAACGTACGCTGTTTGTAAGAGGAAAGAGGAGTATGGTACATCGTGCAGGAAGCCCTGTGCGCTCCACCTCAGGTTTTAAAGATTTATTTTTATTATTTTTTCATTGGAAAGGCGGATATACAGAGAGAAGAGACAGAGAGGAAGATCTTCCGTCCGATGATTCACTCCCCAAGTGAGCGCAACAGGCCGATACTATCGTATCGGCCTTGCATGTGCTGGGATCCCATATGGGTGCTGGCTTTAATCCTGGCAGTCCCGCTTCCCTTCCAGCTCCCTGCTTGTGGTGTAGGAAAGCCGTCCAGGATGGCCCAAAGCCTTTGAGACCCTGCACCTGTGTGGGAGACCTGGAGGAAGCTCCTGGCTCCTGCCTTCGGATCGGCGCAGCACTGGCCATTGTGGTCATTTGGGGAGTGAACCATTGGATGGAAGATCTTCCTTTCTGCCTCTCCTCCTCTCTGTATATCTGACTTTCCGATAAGAATAAATAAATCTTTTTAAGTTAGTTTAAAAAATAAAAATACTCAAATGTTTGAGTATTTGCATCATTTGGCTCAAGAATTCCATTTTTTTGTGAAATTATCCTAACAAAATGGAGCAAAATCTAGAAAAAAATAGTAAGATTTTTTTCTTGCATCAAGGTATTTATTTTGCTGTTCTTTTAATAGCAACAAGTTGATAACTACTCAAAAGAAGAAAAGATAAACAGCCATTTATTTATCTGAAGATTACACAGCTATTAAAATGATGTTTATAAAGAGCTTACAATATTTAAATTACAGTGTAATATGAAAAGAGCAGGGCTCCAGAGAGTACTTGCAATATTTAATTAGAACTACACTTTTCCAAAAGCAAATAGGCATGAAAACTTTGCAAGGAAAACACGTTCACAGTTTGTGGGTGGGTGGCAGAATCGTAGGTGAGTTTTCCCTTTCGCTTTTGAAATCTTTAATGAATATGTATTACTTCTAATTGCAAAAAGCTGGGGGAAAAGAGTATGTTAATTAATATTTCATTATGAAGCGTTATTTGTGATTTAGATTTTGTGAAAAACAAATGAGAAAAAAGCTAAAAACTGTGTGACACCTCCTTCGTATGTGTTTGCGCCCTGTCAAAACCCACAAGCTTTCCCTAACGGGAGCTGGCACGGGTGATGCATGTCTTTGTTTAATGGAATGTGGAAGGGAAAAGGGGAGAGAGGGAGGGAGAGACAGACAGTGGCAGAGAAAGGCAGAGAGTGAAAGACCAAGAGATGAAGAGACAGAAGTGAAGTAGGAAAAGACAAGCTAGGGAAAGCAAGCAGGAGGAACTCCACAAGATCTATCAGATTGAAGCTCAGGAAAAAAATATTTTTCAAGTTTTATTTATTTTTATTAGAAAGTCAGATTTACAGAGAGGAGGAGAGATAGACAGGAAGATCCTCCGTCTACTGATTCATTCTACAAGTGGCCACAATGGTTGGAGCTGAACCGATCCGAAGACAGGAACCAGGAGTCTCTTCAGGGTCGCCCATGCAGGTGCAGGGTCCCAAGGCTTTGGGTCATGCTCGACTGCTTTCCCAGGCCACAAGCAGGAAGCTGGATGGGAGATGGGGCAACTGGGATATGAATCAGTACACATATGGGATCCCAGAGCATGCAAGACAAGGACTTAGCCATTTTGCTACTGCGTCGGGACCAAGGCTCAGGAAAATTTTTGAAGAAGCAAATGGAATTAAGGCTTTTGTCATGACTCAACAGGCTTATCCTCCACTTTTAAGCATCAGCATCCCATGCGAGCACCAGTTTGTGTTCCCATTGCTCCACTTCCCATCCAGCTCCCTGCTTGTGGCCTGGGAAGGCAGTAGAGGACGGCCCAAAGCCTTGGGACCCTGCACCCACATGGGAGACCCAGAAGAAGCTCCTGGCTTCTGGCTTCACATTGATTCAGCTCTGGCTGAAGCAACCATTTGGGGAATGAATCAGCAGGTCGAAGATCTTTCTGTCTTTCCTTCTCTGTGTAACTCTGCTTTTCCAATAAAATAACTAAATCTAAAAATAAATAAAGAAAGGAAGAAGGAAGGAAGGAAGGAAAGAAAGAAAGAAAGCTAATGAAATAAGATTAATTAAAATGATGTGAACATTGACAAACCTGAAGCCATTCTCTTTTGCTGTGAGAACAGAAGGGTGAACTGTAGGCAAGTGTACCACCCCTGGGCACGTTAGGCATCGCTGGTGTGGCTGATGCCGCCACAGCCTGCAGCTCAACAGGGACAGCGGCTGGGAGTGTGTGCTGGGCTCCAACGTTCCTTTCCTGGCCTGGGCCAGTGGTGCATCTCCAGGCCATGATGACACGGGCCTGGGTCCTGCCACGATGAGGACAGTGTCACTCTAAACTTGAGACTTGTTCTTTCTGAATCTATTTCCTTCCCCGACAGTCGGAGCTACCACAGGTGTGGTCCACAGGCGATCGTGTTTGTGTCCGATCACGTGGAACCCTTGGGGCAGCGCCCGGCTCAGGGAAGCATTTCATCAATGCACATCCAGGCTGCATCCCAATGGGCTCCGGAATTCTTGTGGGTGTTAAAAAGGAAATAGGAGGCAAACTGTGTATGCTAGAAAATGCTTGTTAAATACTCGTGCCATTTGGGAGACTATAAATCGCTACCAGGTGCTCTTTCTTATTATGTTTGTTTATTTATTTTCATGGGAGAGAGAATCTTCTATCCACTGGTTCCTGTCTCAAATACCCAGGAGCCCAGAACTCCATCCAGATCTGTGACATTGGATGGCAGCAACCACTTGAGCCATCATCTGGAACTTCCCAGGGTGCTTCAATAGGAAGCCAGAAGGGCATTGGAATAGCCGGGACTTGAATTTGCAGCCTCCCCTATTATGACTTTGACCTCGGGGCCTCAATTTTATCTTTTCTATGGCTGAGATGAGATCCAAGGCCCTAAGTATAAAGTTCAGGTCTGTCTCCTTCCTGAGAGGGCAGTGGAACCAGAGAAGTCCCACCTGCTGGTACCAGCCTTCCTGGGGTGGGGATGAGGGACCACCAGATGTGCTTACCTTCCTGAGGGCCCAGCCTCACTGCGTGAGATTCCTGCAGTATCTCAGCCACAGGCCTTCGGGTGTAGAGGATGGTGGCGGCGCTTATATTGACTCGGACGCGTTGGGGCTGCGGAGTGAGGTTAGCCAGACACAGGGCCAGCTTCAGGTCGTGGCCCAGCACAGGGGGCTCCAGCAACTTGAACTTGCCGGCGACGCTGGGCTGTCTGGGGGGCTCCAGGAGGGCGTCGCGCCAGAGACCACGCCCGCTGCTCCGGCGCCCCCGCCCCCGCCTGCCGCGGGCTTCGGTGCTGAACAGCTTGCGCACGGCCTTGCGGTACACCTGTCGCTCCTTCCGCGACCCTGCAGGCACAACACACAGCATCAGCACACGCCAATTCTGCCTCCTCCACATCCCTTCTCGGCGAAGTCCGCCAATACAACACGGCCGTGAACCTGGGTCACACATGGGAATCCGATAGTGCTCGCTTCGGCAGCACATATACTAAAATTGGAACAATACTGAGATTAGCATGGCCCCTGAGCAAGGATGACACATGGGAATCAGATCAGGAAATTTCAGATAAAAATGCAGATTTCTGACTTTTGTCTCACCTGGGTCAGAGCTCTTGGTGGCCGTCGTGGCACAGGGATGTGTATTTCTTCCGGGGCAAGGCTAAAATCTTTGGACCAAAGATACCCACACACTAAATTTCTGAAGCTCCCAACACTCAACCTTGTAGGGTGCACCCGAGAGGTGCCAGTTCAGAAGAGGGGGTGTCCTCCCCTGGGCCCATTGCCCACCTGAAGACTGTAAGAGGGAGAGTAAATGGGAGGAGACTGTTAATGGCCAGTAAATAACTGTAAGTATGTGTATTTGGGGGATTTAGAAACGTTCAAAAGAATCAACACTGAAATTTGGAGGTGCTTGTAGAAGCAGGGGCTGGCTGATATAGACTGGGGGTGCCTACAGAATGGGGCAGATGATATTTGCTTTTTAAAGCGTTTTCTATTTGAGTGGCCAGTGCAGTGGCTTAGTATGCCAATCCTCCATCTGTAGCTTGCATTCTCACCTTCTGGGGAAGCTAACATCAGGTGGACAAGCCAGGGACAAGCCAAGTGGTGAAAGCAGCCCTGTTACCCCAGCAGTCCCACAAAGAGCCCGATCATGGGAAATCCTAGGGGGCAGATGAACCATCCCAGCAGACCACAGCCAAAATGGCTGACTTGGAGAACCCTGCTCTGACTGCAAGAGCCGTTCAGGGGATTCCAGTGTGCATCAAGGGCTGCATACCTCAGTGTCAGAGAGAAGAAAAGAGACAGGGCTTTCCAGTGGTGTCCAGAGAAGACCTCTCTCTCAACAGCCACCAGCCAGGCTCACTACTTTAGTCTATGCTAAGAGGGAAGGGCAGAGACAAGCCCTGATTTCCACTTGAATTTGAAGTCTTCATTACTCAGTATTATTGTTTTAATGAACAGAAATGGCTAAAAAATATATGAACCAGATCACATCATGGCTCAGGGGCCTATTCCTGAGTGAGGAACGGAGACTGCTTAAAAAAAAAAAAAGACTAGTTTGCTTTTGTACCTTGTCAAGTTCAGGCTGTTCAATAAACCAATGAACATAATTTAGTGACCATGGCACAGGCCTGGCAGATGATTGACTGGAGTGGCAAATGCTGTCATTTGCCCCGAGCTTCATCTGAGTCTCTCACACGGGTGGTAGCAAAGGCCAAGCGTTTGGGACATCTTCCACTGTTTTCCCAGGAGCATTAGCAAAGGACTGGATCAGAAATGGAGTAGCCTGGTCTTGAACAGGCGCCCATATGGAATGTCGGTGTCACAGGCAGAGGCTTAACCCACTGCACCACAATGCCAGTCCTGGCATTATCATCTGAATGGTGCTTTGCACCATGTGCCTTGGGTGTTCAGTGACTAATAGCCAGTCACTAACAGTGACTATCATCATTAGTATCGCTTGTGGTAACCATAGTCTTATTTTCTACATGAATATGGCTAATGCAGTATCTGTCATATGGCAAGTGTTAAAGGAAGCTTGTTACTGTTATAATAGGCGGGGATTCTTCTGGCACAGAAGGGGTGCCCAGCCAACAGAGGAAGTCATTAATTGACCCTAAATAAAGGCACTTGGCCCAAAGCACTGATAACACTGCATGCACTGCCATTACCGTGGTAACACAGGGGCTTGGCCCCAGGCCACCTGCAGCCCAACCTGAGGACACCAACAGAAGTCTCCATGTGGCCCTCACCTTCTGGGTACTTGTAGAGACCTGTGATGTCCACGCGGGAGTCGCTGCCTACCGCCTTGGTGCTGATGCAGCGCCCGATCCTCTTGGTGTCTGAGTACACACGCTCGCGGCTCTCGTCCTCGTGCCACAGCCAGGTGATGTAGTCGGCGTTGACCTCCGCAAACACGAAGGGGCTGTCGTGGGCCAGGTGCACGTCACCCTCACGGATGGCAGTGACAGAGGCTGGGCCACACTGGAACACACCTGCACAGGAGGTCCAGGTGTGAGCAGCACGTGTGCAGAGCAGCAGGGCATCTGGGTCCCACCCCCTTGAACTCTACCTTCACTCTCCTCCTGGGGGGTAGCATCCAGAACCTGCCAGCCATTGTAAGAGGGGCCCAGGTCCTGCCGGGCAAACCAGCTCTCATTCCAGACGTGGAAATTCCTGCATACATAGAGAGAGGGCATGGCAGCCTTGGGTGAACACAGAGGCCCATGAGAGGGGACACTCCTGGAAGCCTGGGGGTGGATCCCCCACCCTAGCTCACCCCCGGCCCAGTAACATGGATGCCTCTCATGAATCTGTCATCCAACATTACTGACAGGTGTGTTCGTGTGAATGAATATATTTCAAAACATTTGTGGGAAAATGGAATTAAAGGACACATTTATTTTAATGCAAAACCAGTTTTGAAATGCAAGCACAGTTTTCACATACTGCACATTTTTCATGAGCTTTTTGAAGATCCTTCTTTATACATGGATCTATAATCTTTTTGTCATTGAAATACATACATGTTTTTATTCTGTTTTCTAGCAGCTCCTTGAGAGGCCCTTGTATGTGTGTCCATAGATGTATGTGTACATGTTTCTTAAAACTTGCTGTTGTAGGTCCCAAAAAGACAAGAAGCAATGAAACGGAAGATCCCTGGCCTCACGCCGTTTACATCCTAACAAAGGAGACCGATGGTGAAGATGGGCAGGCTTATGTTAGCAAATAAAACTAATGTAAGTGAGTGACAAGCCAGGCCGTGAAGACAGAGGGGTTGGGGCCTGGGAAGACCTGCTGGAGACTCTGTGGACGTCTCAGGAGAGACTTGCATGAAAATTCGCCAAAGGAAGAGTGAAGGAAATAGCCTTGCAAGCAGAAAGAATAGCATACTCAGAATAGACTGTGTGTCCAAGGAACAGATGGAATCTGTGGGGTGTGCCACGCGTAGGTAGCAGGTAGGGTGTAGACCATGTGGGGCTTGGTGGGCTGCAGTAGGGAGTCTTGGCTTTCGCCATCACTTGCACAGGGTCACACGGAAGGTGACTGTGGAGATGGTCTCAATTCCTGGCTCAACCCATGTGGCATCTCAGCTGACCTCAAAATCCCTCTTACTGAACCTACTGCCTTGGCTTGGGAAAGTATCCCGAGAAGCATTTGGGTATGGAGGCCCTAACATCAGAAAGAAATGCGTGTCATTCCTGCACAAGGAAAAGAGATGAACATGACCTTGATTAAGTACTTCTGGAAGAAGAGATAATGAGAATGGAAAAGAGAAGGAAAGAGAGGCAGAGAGAGGGTGCAGGGCTGGAAGCAGATGGGAAGGCGGTCCCAGGAATACCACTGGCGGAGGGGAGCAGGCAGATGCTGGCTGTGGGGTTCTGGGTGGTGCTCTCAGCACTGTCTGCTCTGACCCTGAGCATGTGGCAGACACCCAGTCAGGGTCACTCGTTGGAGCCTTGTCCGTGAAAGTCAGCACCTGGGAGCCTTGAAAATGAGCACCCAGAAGGGATCCTTAGGATCATTTTCGCTGCTCTCCCACACCTTGGCTGGGTGGCCTGGGACAAGGGAACTTTTTGTATGCCTCCCTCAGTGCATTGCACTGACCACCTCACATGGTTGCTGAGCGAAGCCCATGAGTTATGCTATAAGCACTGCTTACAACTGCGCCAGGCACAGACCACTTCCTCAGGAGCGTGGCATCACTGCTAATATTTTCAGTGTTCCAGAAGATAAGAAAACTGTGTACGCATACAGGCACTGTGAAACACACACACACAGGAACGGTGCTGGGAGATGCAGCTAGCCTGGTGGCAGAGAGGCTGCTCTGCGCATGCTCCAGGGCCTGCCAAGCCTCACTGTGGACTTGGCCAGTGCTCCCTCCAGCAGGAGGCCAGGAGGGAGGGAGACTCATTCCCACAACCCATTTGGCCCTTTTAAATATTTAAATCCCATGAAGTGTTTCCTGTTCTAAAGATTCTGTTCACACGAATCTTCAAGCTTTGCGGAAGCGTTTCAGCTGAGGAATGAAGTGGCTTTCTACCTGATATACACAGCAGGGGGAGCAGGTGGTGGTTTCAGAAGTCACAGCATGACGCAGAGATGAAGATGTGCAAGGAAGCGTCTCAGATAGGCACACACACCCCAGGAAGCCACAGGGACCCAGCCAGGGCTCCACGTCCACACGCAGAATTGCATTTCAATGCAGCCACTTGTGAGCTCCCTGCTGGCCCCTGAGGCACGTGTCTAGAGCCCCACCCACATTCTAGAAAAGGGGCTCCCCAATCTCATGGCACCTCTCTCTCCTTCCAGAACTGGCTCTGACTTGGAGTAGGGGAGTAGGGAGGTGCTGGGCTCTGGATCTGCCACTCCTTGACTGTGTGGCAGGTGCAGGCTGTACCTGTTGGGCTTCGGGGAGACCCTGGGGTTAGGCTGGGGGAGGGCAACCTCTGCGCTTGCCCTTGGGACCTTGTGGCCCAGGACTCACCACATGCTGTCTTCTGTCAGGTCTTCCAGGGTCCTCCCAAAGGAGTCCACATATTTGTCCACACTCAGGTTCTTGTCCGTGTCGTGGGCCGAGTTGAAGTTAGACACGATGCGGGTGGCGATCCCCAAGCACCTGAGGACTGCAGGGCAGAGGCCGGGAGGCTTCAGGGACAGGTGGGACCCTGAGGAGAGTCCCCTGCCTCCTGTCTGCTCCTCCCTTCTCTGCTTCGGCAGGGGGCAGGGCAGAGATGCCCGTCTCTGCTCTCTTAGAAATACCACTGCCTCCTGGGTAGTTCTGGGGTTCCACTGTCACTGCCCAGTGAATAGCTCCTCAGGCTGGCCTGGGGGCCCCAGGGCTTACCCGAGGCACTGAGTGAGCTAGAGGCAGAGGAAGCGGGGGACACAATCTGCTAAACCAAAGATCAAAGGTCAAGTAAACAACCTGCTAGCTCCCACTCCTCCTTAACAAAGGCTCCTAATTGTTATTTATTTGAGAGGGAGGAGAAAGTTCCTGTTCAATGATTCACTTCCCAAATGCTCTCTCAATAGCCAGCACTGGGCTGGGTTGTAGCCAGGAACTTGGAACTCAATCCAGATGCCCAAAATGCTCACCCATTAACCAAATTTCTATTTCCCTACCATCCATGCACACAGGCAATTGTGTATCCAAATATATGTTAATGATGCAAATGAGGGATCATGCTAGGGGAAGGGGTCTTTCCTCAGGTACCTGTGCACATGACTCCAGCGAAGACCCAGCACTGGCCATATTTAACTGGTTTGAACCTGCCCTTGAACCACTTCTGCAGGATGGCCACGCTGCCGCTCCAGTGCAGTGGGCTGGTGCCACCACCGTATTTGCCCTGCCATTGGCCTTGCACCACGCCCCGGTCGTTGTTGCTGTTCACCTGGACATAGGGGGCACAGGTCCAGCCACTTGCAGCGTCCCTACCTTGCTGTCCCACAGTCATTTCTGACCCTGGGCCACCGAGTCAGTAGGGGTCACCCCTTACTTTTCAATCAACTAAAAATTAGGGGGAGGGCGAACTGCTATCTTAAAACACCAACTTCATGGTCCCACTTATCATTTGAAATTTTCTTCCATTTGGATATTCTAAAGATGAAAATAATTCCTGTTCCTAATGATCGGTTTTGGGGGACTGCTGGTGTAATAATTAGACAGACTGCTGATGCTTATTAAATACTTACTGTGTGCCAGGCACTTCATGCCTACCACAGTAGCTTAGAGCTGCTTTTACTCTCCTCGTCTTTTATTTTTCCTAGACTGGAAAGCTGAGATTTAGAAAGGTCAAGAGACCCATCCAACCCGCCAAGGGGGGGAGGGGGGTTTGCAAAGGCCTTTGTCTTGGAGCCTGGGCTTCTGTCCACAGGGTGGAGGGGATGTGGTCTCCCCACGCTCATATCCCCATGCTCCCGCATCGCTCTGAGTGCTCCAGGGATGGAGAGCACAACAGTGAGAGATACAGCTTTGTCCAGTTTGGGAGTTTACACTTCCACTCTGACCTTACCAACCACAAGCAGGGAACAGAGCCAGGTGGTCCTGCAGCTGGCTACCTTTTGAAAAGGACCCAGCTCTGTGCCCCTTCCACTCAGGTCCACTTGGGCAGAGATAGCATTGCCCACTGACAAAAGAGGAAGTGATGCTGGGCCAGCACCCAGACATAGGACTTAAGGACAGGGCTCCCCACACCCTCCTTATTATAACAGTGATTGCATGGTATGTCAGCTGCCATGGGTGAGCTGGCCACGCCGTGAGCAAGCCCATGCTGACTATGTGGAGTGGCTGCATGGAGAGGAAGTGGGATGACTAGGCTGGTCCTAGCAGTCCCCGCTGTTCCAGGTCAGAGGCCTGGTGTGACAGTAAGGTCTCCGTCTTGGACATTCCAGCTCCATAACAAGAGCAGGAGCCTGGGAAACAAAACCTCCAGGTCTGGGATCCATCGCCCCGTCCTGGGTGTCTGTGCAGACAGCCCTGGCTGACGCAGCCTGGAACAGACAAGCTAGTCTCGGCTGCTACCCACATTCCTCTTCTGCCAGACCATGAGCTCCGCAGAGGTTGCCCACCTCTGAGCCTGGCAGTGTCCAGTGGTACCCAGCAAAGGGCACCTGGATGGAGTCCCAGGGTGTGCAGGGGCAACTGTGGGCGTCTCACCATGGCGCTGATGACCCTGGTGACATAGACGGGGTCATAGCGGCGCGACACGTCAGTAGCTGGGTAGGCCTGGTGGCAGGGGCTGCGGTCCAGGATGGTGAGGCAGATAGTCAAGATGTCCTCCTCGAACTGCATCCCGGAGAGGCTGTGCTCAGAGGCTGGGGTCACCTGATGCCAGGCCCTCCCGCACACTGCCCCCTATCCCCACCCCGGCTTGAGACTTGTGATGAGCAGGGGACCTTACCCCATCCTGATGGCTCATGGACTTCACAATGTATGCTCGAGCCCCAGAAAGCCTTGCTTAAGGCATCACCCGGAGAACCCCAAAACTCAGCCTCAGCCATGCTCCTCTTCCACTCAACACCCTCCTGTGGCTCCCTACTGCCCTCAGCAATGCCACAAAAACGGGTGGCTCTTGGTGGCTCCTACTGACATTCTTCCTGTGGGCTGCAAGATATTTTTTGAATATATTCAAATTAGTGAATGAGATTGGAATGCTGAGGGATTTTGACATACCTAGTACGGAGTTTTGGCCTCTGAAAATGCGGACGGTCTGGGACCCAGGGGCTCCCTGCTCTTCATGGCAATGAGAGGTGGACAGGTCTAAGCTTGCCAGTGCACTGCCCTGGGCCCCTGCCCGGGCTCCTTAGCACAGCACAGTCAAGTGCTTGCTCACCCCCACCCTGGCAGGCATTGGGCCCCAAGGAGACAGAGCTATTCTGGCAGACTCGGGGACTTCCTTACCAGCCACCTCCATGCCACCCTGCCTGTGTTTAGATCCCACCCTTGGGGACCCAGCCCGAACATCACCAGACCTTGCCCAGCGATCCCCCAGGCCCCTGGGGACTTCCATACCCTGCTTCCTGCATTCCCTTGCACCAGTCTCAGCCACTCTGACTCGCCCACTCTGTGGCATCTGGCACTAGACCCCTTTCTCTCCTGCATCTTGCAGGAGTCGGAGAGAAACACAGATTCCCAGGCCCCACCCTGGGCTGGCTCCCACAGCCACAGCCACAGTGCTGGGAGTGGTACCCCAGATGTATGTCTGTGCAGGAATGCTCTGAGAGGTCCTGGGGCTTTTCCATCTGCACCTGAATCCCATCTTTGGATGTTTTGTGTCTCCACAATCACCCCCCACCCAAGCCGCCAGTGCAGGCCCTGAGAGGGCACACACTACACACGCACATATGTGGGTTTGCTCTAAGAGGCGGTGCTAGATGCTGAGAGCAGAGAGCTGGGAGCCGCGGGCTGGCTCTCCCCATGCCCCAGCTCCAACCCCATGCAGCTAGGCCCCTGGAGACCTGCCCGAAGTTCCAGCCCTGTGCCCGGATGTGCTTCTCCACGCCGCGGAAGATGACGCCACTGTCGTTGAGCACGTACTCCTGTCTCTCCTCCTCTGAGTCCAGGAACACATCATCCTCTGAAAGACAGGTGACAGGCCAAGTGTGTGGGCTGGGGACTCTGGGGAAGTGGCTGGACAGGGCAAGGGGTGGTAGCAGGAGAGGGCCTGGGCCAAGCCCTAGCCCAGCCTTAGACGGAAGGATTCTGGGGTCCTGGCACCTTGGGGTTACCCTGCTTGATGCCCTTGGCAGCCTCGTGCCTCTTGAAGGTGAAGCATTTGTCCTGGCAACACCCCTGACCCCACAGTGAACCCTGTGCTGCTCAAGCAGCTAGCTCCATGTGGGCTCACCTGGCTCTAACAGGCAGGCGTGTTCTTAGTCCCTCCCACTTAACAGGTGAGAAAACAGACTTTCTGAGGGAAACAACTTAATAGAGCTGGCAATGAAGCAAACTTGTCTGATTGTAGCCCCAGGGGCCTCTCCTGGGCTCTGGGTGCAAGGCCCCTCCAACTCTGGCAACCACCCACTGCCTCTCCCCCACAAGCACCTGCCACCAGTTTCCTGTGCCTGATGCCCACCTCTGCCCAGGCCCAGCTCTTGCCAGCTCTGGGCATGCACATCCCTGTTCTTTAACTGGAGCCGAGGGTCCTCCCAAGGATGGGTGCACCCCTGAGGACAGCTTCAGGTAGAACCTCTGCCCTAGGGCTTTGGCTACTCCTACCTGGGCACCAAGGGTTGAAAAGGAGAATGAACTCGCCCAGCTTCCGGTCGCTGTGCCTGCGGCGGGAGCAGGCCCTGGCACTCAGCAGGTAGCGGCCGATGACGGCATCCGGTGGGCTGGTGAGGCTAATGGCCACGGTGCTCTCTGTCTGCTCCTCCTTCACGGCAGCCCAGGCATCACTCACCTGCACCTCTGATGTCTGGAACTCGGCTTTGGTGTGGAAGGCCTCAGAAGCCCGGGGCCCTGGTGGCAGGGAAAAGGGGATGGGAGACTCTGTTGCTGCAGGGCCAGCTCTAGAGACCTGGACAAGCTCCAGGCCTGAGGACCAGCCCTGAACTGCAGGTAAAGGACTAAAGTTAACAGCAGGAGTCCTGAGCCAGAGCAGGGTCCACCTCTGTGTTCCTGATTACCAGCCACTGCTTGGTTCTAAGCGCTTGGTTCCAAAAAGGCTTGGCTACTTTCCATTCCCCTCCAGAGCCCCGGCTCCCTTGCTTCGCACACGATGCCTAAAATGTCATTCCATCTGTCCCAGCATTTTCCAGCCACACCTAGGACGCTGCCACTCCACCTGTCCACCCTGCCAGCTGGTGGGACTGGTCCTAAGTGTCTCCATCTGCCTACCGCTAGGAGGCGCCGGCGAGCATACGCACCTGTCTCCACTGTGAAGATGAAGTCCTCCTCGCTGTCCAGGACTCCGCTCACCTCCAGCGTCAGGTCAAACATCTGGCCCCTGCGAACCACCAGCTCAGAGCAGGGGTAATCCTCGGTGTGGTGGGCAGCGCCATTCTTCGATCGCTGCCAGTCTACCTTGGTGACTCTGACCCCTGGGCAAGAGACGGGAGGTCAAGCCCTTGGCGTGCATTCCATTTGCACTTGCCCCTTTCAAGGGGTCAGCCTATCCTGTCAGTCACAACCCCACACCGCTGAACCCTGCTATTGACCAGGCAAGAGGCTGCAAACCCTGGGTTAGTGAGTCTTCAACCATGGCCCTCAGTGAGAATACACGCTTCCTTTCCTGGCAGCCTCTTACTCACCAGCCCTGGATACAAAACCCTGCTTTATGCCTACTGATTAAAAATGTCCTATCTAATGTTTCTTGTCCATCTATTCACATGGGACCCCCAGGGTGGGCAGCACTGTCAGCCATGCCCAAAGGAGGCTTAGCTAACACCCTTTTCCTAAGATCTTCTGGCCATTTTACGCAGGGACATCACCTACCCAAAGCCCCCAGATGTCACAAGGCAGTTTGAACTGGACCCAGAAGGGACACCAGCTCACAGCATGAGACACGAAGAAAGAAGACAGCATGCCACCCGTTTAACTTTTGCTGTGGGAACCAGTGTTGGAGATTTGGCTTTTTGCCATTCTGTGCATGCTTGAAAATAACCAGAGGGTGCCCAGGGCATTGGTTTTGAAGTTAAAAGGAAATTTTAACATGTGCAACAATTATTGCATGTGCAGAATCCACCAACGTGGCAGACCCACATGGACATGTGATGTTCAGGGCAGAAGTTTGACAGAGCGTGACACACTGGCATCCCACACGCCGCTGTCCCTGGGTTTGCAGCCCAGCTATGCTCCCAGCTCCTGCTCCCTGTGAAGGCCCAGCCTGGGAGGCAGCAGGTGATGGCTCAAGAATGGGGTCCCTGCCACCCCCACGGGGACCTGGATCGAGCTCCAGCTCCAGTGTGGCCTGGCCTTGATACTTGGGGGCGGGGGGTGGAATTTGGAGCCAGGGGAAGATTTCTGACCATATCTCTTTGTTTCACTTTCAAACAATTACCTAAATTTTCAAAAGTCCATGAAGATGGAATTAAAAGGTAAATTTATTTTGGCACAGAAAATTTTTGGAACTCATGCCTGGCAGGGAAAGGGGTTTAGAAAGTCTAAAGGCTTGTTGCAGTAGCCTAGGGGCTAAATCCTTGCCTTGCATGCGCCAGGATCTCACATGGGCATCAGTTTGTGTCTCGACTGATCCATTTCCTTTCCAGCTCCTTGCCTGTGAGCTGGGAAAGCAGTGGAGGATGGCCCAAAGCCTTAGGACCCTGCACCCATGTGGGAGATTTGGAAGAAGCTCCTGGCTCCTGGCTTTAGATTGGCTCAGCTCCAAAAGATCTTCTGTCTATCCTCTCTGTATATCCGCCTTTCCAATAAAAATAAGATAAATCTTTAAAAAAAAAAAAGTTCTCAGGAGATGTTTATTATATGAAGACAGTGCATGGATTTCAATGTCCTTCTGCACAAGAATAAAACTCTTTCAATTCCATTTCCATGAACTCTTGCAGACTTTGTGTGTTTCCTTGTGTCAGGTTGGCATCTTGCTCTCTGTGGGCAGCTGAAGGAAGCTGGGTGGCTCCAGGGTCAATAGCAGAGCCTCCGAAATCAGCTAGCTTGGCCCTCGACCAGCCCAGAAGCTTCTCCTCAATCTCTCCAATGCCTCAGTTTCCCCCTTGCACCCGGGGACTCATGACATCTCATGGTGTCATTGTGGGGACAGTGACTTGCCTGTCATCTAGCACCCTCAGAGGCCCATAAATGTTGCTGAGTAAGTATGGGATGTGCAAGGGTGACTTCCAAATGGGTGGGGCCACACGTGACTAATTGTTTGCATTCAAGCCGAGGAGAAGTGTTGGAGCTAAACCGAGATGGGACAGGGAGGCCTGGTCTGGCCTGCAAGCATAGCTCTCCTGAGAAGGTGGCCTTGAGGCTGAGTCTTGGATAAGAAATGACATCTCCAGGGGACAAACGTAGCATCTTTTCCCTTCACTTCCTCCAGGTTCATTCACTGGGACGTCAGGTGTTGTTCTGGCTTCTGCAGAAGCCACAGCCCGTGACTCAGGAGTAGAGAGTTGAGCAGAGAGCTCCCAGATGTCTAAGTGAGCTGTGAGGGGGAGGGGGCCTGGGAAGGCTGGGGTGCCCTACCAGCACAAAACGCAGGGCATGGCCAGTCATGGCTTCTAGGTAAGGTGCCATGGCCTCTGGGCTACAGTGACAGGAGAATGGCTACTTCTAGAAGCTGAGAAAAAGCTAAAGGCACTGAGTTTGGAGGGTCTGCAGGGCAGACCTGGGGGTGCGGCAGTGGATAAGGAGTCTGCTCTATGCCCTCAGGTGGTGGCATGGTGTCTTGAGCTCGACACCATGTGGTCAGGTTGCCCATGGGGGAGTTTGCCCTAGCTGTGGGCAGGGATCCATCGGTAACATTCGGTAAGAGCTTCTGGAAACAGAGGGACACTCTTTGCTTCTTCACTTTGGCGTACACCTGCTCCCACACATCTGCTGATGCCTTGTTGCATCTCACCAATTCCTCCATCTGGAACAAGCGACCTGGCAAGACTCCCCTGCTCTCCATTCCCCCAGCGCCCTCTCTCCCTTCACTACGTATTCAATCTTTTCTGGGCCATATTGCACCTGCTCACATGCCCCTATCCATCATATCCTTGCCTTGGGCCTTTCCAAGGTCCCTTCTGATCAGAGTGCCTTGGGTCATTCTCTGAGATGTCCTTGCCTTCACCCTACTGCCTGTGTTCATCTCTCCTTTGATCAACCAGCTATTATGTTCTGATAATGCAAATAACACAAATAGAAGCAGTGCACACCTTCAGATGTTCCTGTGTCCTCTTCCCAACAATCTTGCAGGAGTGATACCCTGACCACTCTCCTCCCGTTTTCTGTCTGAGACAGAGAGACAGTGACAATTGGACAAAAAGGGCTTCCATTCTCTGGTTCACTCCCCAAATGCTCACAATGACTAGGGCTGGGTCAGGCCAAAGAAGGAGCCGGCGTCCTATGCAATGGTTTATGTTCAATAGCATAACACTGTGCTGGCTTCTGGCAGCACAGACACCTGGCTCCTGAGGGCAGGTCCAGCTCTCAGACTCACCACCTGCTCAACTTAATGACACACTGGTGGCAACTGCTGCTGCTTGAGAACACATGCTGGGTGCTGTCCTAAGGACCCACAGAGGCCAGCCACCTGTGAGAGCATCCTGGGAAGCCCGCACAGGTCCACTGCCCTCAGTGGTCCTGGCTTAATCATCCCAAGGAACTACCTGGACATCGGAGACTTTAAACATTCCCATGTGTTCCCAACATGCAGCTGAGAGCTACTGATCTGAGCCCAGCTTCTCCCAGGTTCTGAACACCTTGTCACCCCTTCTCACATACTCTTCTTACAATACAACATTGATACTCACTCATTGAAAAATGAGATATAGGTCCCCAGCTTCCAAATCTGGAAGATTACAGGATTAAAACACTCGATGCCTTGCAAGACTAAATCATCCAAGTTGACCCTGCTGCCTCCTGGTTGTCCTGAGTTGCTGATCTGTGGACACCAGGCACTCAATCACGAAGAGGCCTGAACGGTCCTACATGCAGAGGAACCAAGGCCCTTTGCCACAGCCTGCTGAGCTCCCGGCTGACAGCCAGCACCTGCCTGGCACCCAGGGTGAAGGGGTGACTCTTCTTGCAGGAGGGCCCTCCAGTCCCCAGCCCAGCTGGCCCAGCTGATATCAAGTGCAGTGCAGAAAAGCCATGCCTGCCCAGCTCTGCCCTGGCTGTTATTCTTAAGCACGAGAGTGATTCCTGCTGGCTTAAGTGTCTAGGCATTGGGACAATTTGTCACACAGTAATAGATAAGCGAAGCAAGGGATGGTGATGGTGGTGGTGGGGAAGCATGTCAACTTCCTAATCCATCTCCACCGATCTGGTGTCAGGTTCTCAACCCCCAGGCCTGAGCTTCATGGAAAACATGTTTTCAGGTGGCTCTGGCTTGGCACCGTCATTTAGGGACAGTGGCTGAACTTGTAGATAGGAACTCGCACAGTTGACACGTATGTGCCTTGCATGGGAGGGAGCTCGCCAGGTCATTGCTGTGATGAGCAGAACTGTGTAAGACCGGTGAACAACAGCGATCCCATGTGGTAGGTGCTGGAATGATGCGTCACAGTCTCCAATTTCTCACCCAGGAAAGCAAAATCCATGCCTTAACCTCTTGGTCCTGGTAGTTCTTGGCAGCCACAAAAAAATGAAACCCCAGAACTGTGAGCTCGGGGGGACCTCTGTGTAGAACAGGCAGTAACTACCCTGGGCCTTATACACAGCATTGTCAAGTCTAACGTCGGATAAGTCATTGGTAGCCCAGGTCCCCTTTTTGTGGGCACAGAAGAGATGGAAGGGGCTTCATTTGGATCTGCGGCCCTGCAGGCCCACACTGCTGCTTCCTAAGGGCAGCCTGCCCAGGGACATGCCGGCTCAGGCTGCTTCTGTTTTTAGGGGATGAATCAGGGACAGGATTCAGGGTTACAGGGTGGTAATTACCCCAGCCTTGCTGTTTCCCAGGGCTGGGTACAAAGTGGGGTTTGAGATTTGATGAGGGCTCCTAGAGCCTGGGTCAGTGGTTCAAGCCCTGAGGACTCAAAGTGACACCCCAAACCAGCTGTCATCCCCTCTGGGGGCATCAACATTGTTATCACAGGTGAGCAGGAGAGGGAGGGCTGAATCAGAGCTATCATCATCCTAACCACAGAGATCACCTCTCTCTCTGCCCAGGGTCAATTTCCTGGCTGAATTCTTGAGGGGGGTGCGTCTTCATGGCCCCCTGGTTACACACCTCTGAGAGGCAGCTTGTCCTGCACGGGTCATGGGGTCTGGCCTCTGCTTATCTTCCTCTCTCTGGTCTCTCTCTCACCCCCACATAACACACCACCTCTCATGCAGAGAGGGACCGAGGACACACCTACCCACTGCCTCCAGTCTTACAACTCCACGCTGGACCTATGGCCCAGGAGCCCCCCATACCACCCCACCCGGTGTCCACGTGATT